CATTCAATCACCAAATAATGATTAAGTTTGTACATTTTGCCAGGTGTGTGCCAAGTGCAATATTAGAGGCAGGGTGCTTAGTGCTGAGTATAACAAGCAGGACACACTGTGTGTGTGGAGTGCACAGTCTTAGAGGAGAAAACAGGCCAGTAAAATAATTACGAGTACGATGGAGTAGGACAAAGAAAGGGTCTGAGCCGGGTGCAGTGGCCCACACCTATAATTCCCACAATTCTGAGGTGGAGGCAGGAGGATCAGAAGGTTAAGGCCAGCCTGGGCTATATGAGGCCTGTCTAAAAAAAACTCCGGCTGGAGAGATGGCTCAGAGGTTAAGAGCACTGACTGCTCTTCCAGAGGTCCTGGGTTCAATTCCCATCAACCACATGGTGGCTCACAACCATCTGTAATGAGATCTGGCGCCCTCTTCTGGCCTGCAGTCACATATGCTGTGTAAATAATAAATAAATAAATCATAAATAAATAAATAAAAGAAAACTCCACCATTACCAATCTGCCATGAAAAGCAACAAGAAAGGGTCTGAACACCATAAGAGAGACCCGTGGAGCAGCTAGTGGGGTTTCCCTTCCATAGGGCAGTCAGGAGGAGGTGCTGAGACCTGAGCAGTGGAGACCTGAAGGATGGCAGCTCCCAGAGCCATGAGGGCACTGGGTAGAGAACAGAGACAGCATGCCACAAAGGACTGCAGAAGGAAGGGATTGTATGTCCCCACTAAGAGGGGGTCATGTGGCTGGAACTAACAAAGGTGGCACACAGGTGACCAGTGATCTCAGTTTGCCCAAGACTGAGAAGTTTCCCAGGGCATACAACTTCATATTGAGCAAGGGGCAAATTTTATTTGAAGACATGGTCTCACTGTGAAACTTGCTGTGTAGAGTACCTTGGCTTTGAACTCACAGAGCCCCATCTTCCTCTGCCTCCAAAGTGCGGGGCTTAAAGGTATGCATCACTGTGCCTAGCCAGTTCTTGGTAATTGGGAAATGTTGCTCACCCTAGAGAACATGTGTTTGAAGCCTTCCCCCAAAATTAGGAACAAGACAAGGATGTCCCATATTTCACCCTCCTGGTCAACATTGGAGTCCTGTCTAGAATAATAAGATAAATAAAGGGGATAAAAGAGATAAATACAGAAAAGGGAGAAGCCAAAGTAGCAACATATGATTCTATACATAAAAGATTCTAAAGACTCCACCAGAAAACTACAGCTGATAAGCACGTTCAGCAGAGGAGCAGGATATAAGAGTCGGTAGCCTTCCTCTATACAGACAACAAGCACTCCAGATAACATGGTAGCGATACAATTCGAAGTTGTCTCAAAAAATCTTGGAATAAATCTAACCAAGGAAGTGAAAGACTTACACAATGAAAACTTCACAACACTGCAAAGAGAATTGATAAAGATACCAGAAGAGAGGAAGAGACTCTATTCTCATGGATTGGTAGGATCAATATTGTGTAAATGGCCATCTTACCAAAAGCAGTCCACAGATTCAACACAGTCTCCATCAAAGTTTTAATGGTTCTTTACAGAAATTGAAAAAATAATCTTTAATTTCATATGGAAACACCAAAGACGCAGGATAGGCAAAGCAGTCCTTAACGATATATGACTAGTGTGTGTGTGTGTTTGTGTGTGTGTGTGTGTGTGTGTGTGTGTGTGTGTGTGTGTGTGTGTGTGTGTGAAAAGTAACATCCCCCATGGATGGGCCGCTTTCTATTTTCTGGCATCTAGGCTCCATTTTTCCCGTTTAGCTGAAGTATATATAAAAATGAGAAGTTAAGAGAATAGTGAGGTGATCAGTAGATAAAGGCACTGGCAGCCACGCCTGATGACCTGAGTTAGATTCCTGGGAGCCACATCATGGAAGCAGAGAAGCCAACTCCTGCAAGTTGTCCTCCTACTTGTATATATGTGCCTCGGTGTGCGTGTCTCCACACGCATGCACACGCACACAAAATAAATGATGTAAAACAAAAGAAAAACCCTAGAAGCTAAGATCTGCAGTCGTGCGAGAGTACGTGGTGTTTGTCTTCCTGAGACCGCATTACTTCACTTAATAGATTATTTTCCAGTCCCATACATTCTCCTGCTAACTGCATCGTTTCATTTTTCTTGATGGCTAATTAAAATTCCATTGCACATGTGTACCAGGTTTTCATTTTCCATTCAGCTGTTGTTGGCATCTGAGCTGACTCTACTTCCCTGTTACTGTGAATAGAGCAGCAATGCATGTGGATGCGCGGGTATCTCTGCTGTAGGCCATCGAATCCTTTCAGGTGTGTGCCCAGGGGTGATGTCGCTGGGTCGGATGGTAGCTCTGTCTCTAGGTTTTGAGAGCCCTCCACCCTGACCTCCATAATGGCTGCCCCAATTTACACTCATACCCACCACGAATTAATGTTTTTTCTTTCCCTACACCCTCTTCAGAATTGGTTGTCCTTTGTTTTCTTGAGGATAGCTGTTTTGACTGGAGATGGATGGAATCTCAGAGTAGTTTGAAATTGCATTTCTTTCATGGCTAAGGATGTTGCAGTCTTTAAACATCTTTATTATACATTTGCATTTCTTCTTTAGAGAACTCGGTTCTATCTCCTTAGTCTATTTTTTTGTATTGTTTTCCTTTCTTTCCTTTTTTTATTTGTTTAGACAAGGTCTCATTGTGTAGCTCTGGTTGGCCCAGAACTCATCATGTAGACCAGGCTGGCCTGGAATTCAGAGACCTGCCTCCCTCTGTCTCTTAAGGGCTGGGATGAGGAGTGTGCACCACCTCGCCAGGCTTGCTTTTTTTCCCACCCCCAGCAAGGTCTGCCCCCAGGATGACTTTGAACATCCCTCTCCCAAGTGTTAGCGTTACAAGCATATGCCACCATGCCAGGTTTGGTGTGGTGCTGGGGTTCGAACCAGGGTCTTGTGCGTGTTAGGCAAGCACTCAACCCATGAAGCCATATCCCTAGCCTCACTTGCACGCTTCTTTAGTGTGCCACCGTACACACTTGGAAGTCAGAGGACATGTTTTGGGAGTCAGTTCTCTCCTTCCACCATGTAGGTCTGGGGAATATTAAGGAGAAAAATAGTTTAGTTGCCTAAAAGAAAACAGGAAAGGATGCCGTATTGTTGTAAATATTAAATGTTGAAAGTTAAGAAAGTGAAAATAGCCGGGCGGTGGTGGTGGCGGCGGCGGCGGCGGCGCACGCCTTTCATCCCAGCACTCGGGAGGCAGAGGCAGGTGGATCTTGGAGTTTGAGGCTAGCCTGGTCTACAGAGTGAGTTCCTGGACAGCCAGGGATATACAGAGAGACCCTGTCTCAAAAACCAACCAAGCAACCAAACAAACCAACCCTCATAGAGTGCCATTAATAATTCTATCAAGTAATCATCCTGTTTGACATAGATCTTGCACAGTGACTCAACAGGAGGGCCGGGGCTGGTGCTCAGATGTGGTGATATATTGTGTACCCTAATAAAATCTGCCTGAAGATCAGAGAACAGAACAAGCCACTAGATTAAACATAGAGGCCAGAGAGTGGTGGCGCATGCCTTTAATCCTAGCACTCAGTAGGCAGAGATCCGTCTGGATCTCTGTGAGTTCAAAGCCACCCTGGACTACATGAGATTGACTCAGTCTAGGAGAGAAAACAGCCTGGTGGTGGTGGCACATGCTTTTAATTGCAGTATTTGGGAAGCACACACGCCATTAATCCCAGCACTAGGAAGGAAGTGGTGGCTGGGTGGAGAAAGGTATATAAGGCATGAGGAGACAGGAACTGAAGGGTTTTTCAGGCTGAGGAGTCCTAGAGGTAAGAGGTGGCTTGTTCCTTTGTCTCTCTGTTCTTCAGGTAAATTTTATTAGGGTACACAATATATCACCACACTCAGACCTTCTGACACGTAGACCAGGGAGGGTCATGTTGCTGCCACAGCCCCATGGCGGGGTGTAGTAGAAACGACAGAAAAGCTTAGAGGAAGGGCATAGAACTGTGATAGCAGTCCAAGAAATGTCTCTGTTGTCTCCTGGAGATAGCGAGCTACACAAAGTGATCAGGATGTGCTACTGAGGAGTGCACTGTTTTCCTGTTTCTCATCACCTCATGTCATATCATCTAGGATGAGACGAGACAGGCTTGACACTGGAAATTAAAATTCCACCTACCACTCGTATAAACGATAAGGTATGACATAAAAGGGATTCGTCTCCTGAACTTTGTTGGACCAGAGGTTTTACTGACAGGACAGAGATAAAAACAAGAAAGAGGAGGATTTGACAAAGAATAGATGGGGTGGGGGGAAGTTCGATGATCTTGCATCAAGCAACCAATGACATTACTAGTGGAAGTACTTTATATAATATATATATAATCATTATATTTATATACTATATACCTATATAATCATAAATCATTATTTAAAAGAAAAACAAAATTATATCTCCATATATATAAAATAATTTTAAAATGATTTTTTGAAATAGATATGTTTTTGGTGTTCTTAACTATTTATACATATTTAAATGGTTAATTATCATCAAACACACCATTTCGTAGTTACTGTGTATGTATGGATGTGCATGTGACAATGTTTGTGTGTTCAGAACACTAAGAATCTACTCTTTCACTCTCTCAGCAAAAATATACAAATTTCAACATTAATAACCAGTCTTCATGTTGTATCTTAGATATTTAGATAAATCTAGTTTACCTACAGCTTTTTAAAAGAATAAACACAACCCAAATCTTTAAGATTTTTTTTTTTCTAAAGTTATCAAGACTGTAATGTTGTCTCAGAAAGATGCAGAACCAGTTTTGGACTAATTGGATGTATTTCACCAGAAACAAAATTTGAAGTTGTGTGACTAAACAGGTCCATTGAAATGGGCAGCCAGCTGCCAACAGCCCCAGAGTGTATAATTCCTCAAGGGCCCAGAGAAGTACCCATGGGGTCTACAATTCCCATCTACTGATAGCTGCCCTGGGCAGGCCCTACCATTTTCCATCGGTTAACTGCAGTGTGGGTCTCACCAGACTCTTGTCCCTTGAACTTCTCATTGGCTTTCACATCCGGTCCTAAGATGATGCAATACAGTGTTGCCAAGTGACCGTGACATCATAGAATGGCCAACAGTGTGGTCTCAAGATGTTTCACTCACACCTAGACAGTTTGAATGAGGAAGATTTGGAGGACACGTACTGCAGTATTGAAATCCAAGCAGCCTTTATTCTTTCCTCCTGTGTGACTTTCTTCGGGGGACTCATCATCTTAGTCTTTTTCAGAATCATCTTGAAAATCGCAAAAAAATGGCAAAGCATCAAGCATTCAGGAGCCGTCTTGGTCAGTTCCCTTGCTTGGGACATCTGTGTGTGAAGACTGGGGCTAAGTTTGGCACATGTCTATGTTTAGCAAGCAGTTCAGGCCTTCCTTGATTTTTCAGGCTAATGAGCCTGATGAGTCATAAAGGGCAGGAAGCAGGGCCCAAGGCCACCAGTGCAAAACTTGGTGAGCATGGATGACGATGGACGCACCAGAGTCTCTGTTCTGAGAAAACTTCCGTAAACATTGCCAGTTAAGGCCAAATGTGGTACTTTGTGGGTTAGTCACTTGAGGCAGGAAGATTGCTGTGTGTTTGAGAGAGAGAGAGAGAGAGAGAGAGAGAGAGAGAGAGAGAG